GATTGGCTATACTCTGAGGAAACAAACCATCAAGTGACATCACTAGACAAGCCATTGCTCGAGTGGAACCCGAAAGGGAAGGGGCGAGTTGGTCGTCAGTGCGAGGGTGACTTGGAGGAGGTCATGTGAAGAGGAGATGAAAACGTGTGGGCAAACTTGGAGCCAGGTGGAGACTCTAGCAGAGAACAGAACGCAATGGAGACGCACGGCTGAAGCCCTATGTTCCTGTAGGAATTAAAGGAAGCAATAATAATAATACTTAACCACGCAGGGTGATGTTCGGAAATCCGACGAGAAACACACCTGATTGTACGGCCTATGCATGTGGCTCCACAGGAGCAGTCAAACTAGTAGATACATATAGGAGAGGTGAAATTATACATTTTAATGCAAAATAGAGGTGGTTTTGATGACATGACATTCTTCAGAAGCACTAAATACTCTTTTTACCGCATTCCTAAACCGTTGTGTTAATATGTCGCTTATGTTATCCCCCGAGGAATTGAATTTGGTTCAGACACTGTCCTTACACCTTGGCCATCAATCAAGGTTTCAATGATTCTCACTTTTTTTGTGTGGAAATTTCCTTAATTTTATTTTATATTCTATTTGCTATTACATTTTTCCCCTACCGAAAGCTGCTACCTTGACGTGGTGGTCGGGCTTGAACACTGCAATGACCCTACAAGCTATACTGGCTGAGACTTATGTCGCTTGAGGTCCTACCATGTCAGAAAGGTTGTTTGGATAGCGGTTAGAGAAAAAGCACCTACCCAATCCAATACTATGATTCAAACAAATTCACGAAATATCATGCCGGATCGGTCGGGGCCCGGATTAACAACGACCGCGCTTCCTGCTGCCGTGTCACAGGGCAGAAGTGATAAATATGCTACTGAGACACCAAACAAGAAAAAACAAACAAAAACAGGTTGCGTGTGACCGACCTCAAGCAGTTGTCCCCTGGGCTCTGCGGTCACGCAACACTCTTTCTGTTTCAGGTTCCCGAAGAATCAATCAACTTCCACGGTGTGGGCAGCCGGGAAGTAACAACCGCCCACACACTTCCAAAAGCTTATTACATTTTTATGCTTATTATAATTTATGCATCTCTAGTAAACTGGAATTCCATTGTGATCTTAAAATAACAAATCGATAGAATGTATTTAAAAACTTTCAAAAAGGAATGGATACTGAACAAAGAATACACAACCGATGGTGATTCCTCGACTGAAAGATGAAGTACCTAGACTACTAGCCACTTCAAATTGTATTTAAAAACGGCGATATTGTTAATGACGACTATTCTAGAATATTTTATGTATATAAACGCATATATACACATATATATATATATATATATATATATATATAATTGTAGAGCCAGAAGAGGAAATTATCGAAAAAGATATATTCTCTGCTCAAATATTTTGTTTTTGATAAGTAGTCTGAATATTCTCGCTACTACTTATTACACACATGATATACATTAGAGTACATTAGAGTATGAATTGCTTTTGATGTTATTTGACAACAGCGGATATTGAGCGAAGGGAGTGCCAAGAAAGTACATTGCACTAATCAAGGCACTCTACTCAAACTCACGTGGCTGTGTAAGGGCTTATGGGGAATTGTCATCTGAATTGATAACATCCAGTGGTGTCCGTCAAGGATGTCCACTTTCCCCATTTCCGTTTAACTTCATCATAGATATGCTAATGGAAGTACCCTTAACTGAACGATTTAGGAATCGACTTGTTACCAGGGAACAGTTTTATGGACTTAGAATATGCAGACGACACAGTCCTGTTAAGGGAGGATGCTAACAAAATGCAGAGTCTTCTGAACACCTTGAGCAGCAATCTTCGTATGTTTGGCATGCGATTCGCCCCTGTGAAATGCAAGATGCTGCTACAGGACTGGACTACGTCTACCCCTAGCTTAGTGATAGGGAATGAAGTGATAGAACATGTTGACCACTTCACCTATTTGGGAAGTTGTATCAGCACCAACGGATTGATTGATGACGAAATCACAGCACGGATCCAAAAAGCTCGGGCTGCTTTCGCTAACTTACACCGTCTCTGGCGTAGGTGTGACATCCGACTATCAAACAAGGGACGTGTATACTGCTCAGCATTTCACTCCGTCCTTGTCTATGGCTCTGAAACATGGCCAATACGAGTTGAAGACATGAAAAAGTTGACTGTTTTTGATCATAGATGTCTACGATCTCTTTCTCACGTTAGATGGCATAAATAAGGTAAGTAATGTTGAAGTTAGGCGTAGAGTGTCGGGCAAAGAGGGAAAATCAATCGACGAGGCTATAAAGTTACATAGATTGAGATGGCTAGGTCACGTGCTGCGCATGCCTAACCATTGCCTCCCCCACCCCGACGGGCATTACTAGCTGATATAGGTGCAGGTTGGAGAAGAGTAAGTGGTGGCCAAACAAAAACATGGCCTCATCAATCCATGAAATCCTTGACAGTTAAACTGAGTCAGGTAGGGAGGGAGATGCAGACTTCCGGGTTGGGGCCCGCCCTAGGGACTCTAAGAATCAATGGCTGGAGACAATAGGTGACATGGTTCGAAATCGTTGTCAATGGCGCAGATGTATTCAGTCTCTGTAATCTTTCATATTCCTTTCTATCATTACTCATTCTGTTTCACTCTTATACTTGTCAAAACTCTATTGATTCTCTTCACTCATTTTCCTGTCTACCTTTGTGTGCTATTTGGAACGTGGCAACTCGAAATGCTGCACTTCGGTACCAAGTTCTATGTTGAATCCAGACAGAGCGAAACTCCAGCCAAGATGACGAGAAGTCCAAGATCTACAGGCTAATCATAAGAAGAGTTAATGTCTCCATTATGTAGGTAGTAATCAACGTGTTATAATACAAAAGCCCATGAAACTAGTACTAGTTTTCAAGTAGGAGCTATAAATGCTGGTTTTACTACAATGCTTGCATACACTACTGTCAATCAGCAACTTTATTACTATTTATTATTCCAATAATTAACTGTTAATTTAACCGGACGAAATGTAACGGTCATGTGTATTTGTATTTTTTTCAAAATATTTTCGGTAAGGTAAGAATGGGGTTGTGGAGATATATCGATTGAGGTGGATTAGCAGTGCGCTCTCGCCAGCCACGCAAATGGTCCTGGTCGATGCACTCTTATACCTCGCCTAGTTTATTAGGCGGTGCTAAGCCCAGAAAGGAGGAAAGGTTGAGTATGAGGCTATATATATTCACAATACTTAAATCATTCTGCGAAAGAATTGTATAGTGCTTAAATTCTATTCTCATACCAATAAATGAAACACTGAGATAAAGAATAAGAAGTTATATTTCTCAATAATCCATGGTTGAGAGTATAGAACATTTGAAATTCACACGACCTGAGTACGCACACACACACATACACACACACAATATACAGTGATTGTTAATGCACTCTTATCTATCTATCTATATAATTGGTTTTCAATGAATAAAAGAAAAATTTTAATTGTGAGAATTTCTAACATTAGTTAATTGATTTCTGTTGAAATGAAATAAATGATGGCATAGATATAGATTAATATCTAGAAACATGATGTAATTTGTAAAATTGCTGTGTTTATTTTGCTTATCATTATTATTGTTCCATTGGGTTCCTAGTGGAACATAGGGCTTCAACTGCACGTCTCCAATTGCTTCTGTCTTCTACTGTACTTTTCACCTGCATCCATGTCAGTCCATACTGTTTCAACTCCTCTTCACACGATCTCCTCCATGTCACCCTTGGACGTCCCACTCGCCGCCACTTCCCTTTCGGGTTCCACTCGGGCGTTGGCCTGACGCGCGATGTCACCCAGCGGCCTCCTCAGCTCAGCGAGTGTCCAATCCATCTCCACTTTCTCCTGCATATTTGTTGGGCGATTGTCTTGTTCTTGTTTTGTTTGTTCCCATAGTTTCTTGTTGGTTCTTGTTCTTTCCGGCCATCTGATCTTGAGTATAGAACGAAGGCAGTTGTTGGTAAAGGTCTGCAACAGGCTGTAGGAAATATTCTTGGTGACCCGTCAAGTTTCTGATCTGTATAGCAAAACTGACTTGATGTTTGTATTGAAAATCCGAATTTTGTTGTTGATGCCGAGTTGAGTGACGAAGATTTCCAGATTGGTTTCAGGTTGATGAATGTGTTCATCGCCTTCCCGATTCTCGATTTGACATCCTCGTCCGTTCCGACTGCCTGTAGTTGAGACAATGCTCCCTAGGTAAGTGAATGAAGTAACCTCTTTCAAATCCCTCTCGTTGATAATGATTGGCGCTGGATGTTGCTGTTGCTGTTGTTGTTGTTGGTTGGTTATTTTCATAACCTCCGTCTTGTCTATGTTCACCTGGAGTCCTGTCTCTGCTGCTTCTTCGACCAGTTTGTCGGTTTTCGCTTGTAAGTCTTCGATTTCGTGTGACATCAAACATAAATCATCCACGCGCGAAATCCAGGTCTTCTAGGTTCTTCACGTCGGTCCAGGATATCCCTGTCTTCTGGTTTCCCCCAGTTTGACGCATAATCCAGTCCACCACAATTAGGAGTATCATTGGTGATAATAAGACTTCAACTAATAACTACATTTTAATTTGTTTAATTCTTAAGTTAGCTGCACACAAGTGAAGTTCCTTTTTTCGGGTTATCGTCGTTGAACCAAGTGATATTCTGGTGTTAGAAGGGTGGAGGGAATTGACAGGAGGACTTCGACCTAGACTTCCTGACGATTGCCTCCAACCATTTAACAATGACACCGCGATGCTGAGTTATCTGGCATGGTAGCCACATTGCAAACTTGACTGATAGAATCCAGTCTGCACTAAACGAAGGACTACACATCTGACATTACTTACGACCTAGTGTCCAATGAAAGATATTTAGGTATCAATAAACACATTCAGCAATAAAAAAACAAAAACAAACAATCTAGCATCATTTTTCACTAGACACAATGAACTTACCTCACGAATAAAATCATCTAATTTGCCAATAACCGATGGGACTTCACGCAATCGCATAAGAATATCATCTAATCCACCGCATGATTTACGATGAGAAGGATTACCAAATAAACGATGCAGTAGGATGATTGCCACTTTGAATAATATAATTTTACCTAGGTAAATAAAGTCAATGATTGAAATAATAACAGAAAAGTTTTATAAAACGTTTTAGAGACTAACTGGCATAAAATAGGTAATTTCATACTTCATTGGTAAACATTAAATGAACAAGAAAAGCGTTAATTACTCCTGTATTAAAGCAAGTGTGTCGTCACATGTGTTATTTGTAAAAACAAAGTATAAACATTAAAATTTCTTACGATAAAGAAAAACTACCGAAGCAAATAAGTACTGCCAATGTAACAGTAATATTGCTATTTATATTATTATTAATTATGATTATCTCATTGAGTCTAGAGTGGAACATACGGCTTCAACAGCAAAATTCCACTTCACCCTGTTTTCTGCAGTCCTATATAACTGTCCGTAAGCTTCCATCTCATTCATGCTACCCTCAAATTCACGCCACAATCATCCATTCCTATCCAGGTTTCAATCAGGGACCTGGAGTGTAATGCTACTAAGCGGTCTCCTCTCAGTGTGGAGGTTCAGTCCATTTCCTCCTGCATATTTCTTGAGCGACAGGTTGTTGGTTGGTTCGTTACTAGTTCAGAAATAAGGAGTGATGTGGTAGAGCGCAGTGACCACTTCACTTATTTGGGAAGTTGCATCAGCCAACGACAGACAAGTGGATCACTGACGAATTCTCAGCACGGATACAGAAGGCTTGTTTGGCATACGCCAGTTTAAACCGTCTCTAGAGTAGACGTGATATCCGACTGGCTGTCGACCAAAGGGTGTGTGTACTGCTCAGAGCAGCAGATAGTTCAGTCCTCCTTTATGGCTGGCTGTGAGTGAGACATGCCCACTGGAAGTGGGGAAAACACGAAAAGGCTGGATAGCTGTCTTTGATCATAGGTGTCTAAGTTGTATCTCCTGTGCGAAGTGGTATTAATAGGGTGAGTAATATTGAGGTTAGGTATTGGTCGAGTGCTAGGTAGGTGAGAGAGGAAATCAATCAACAAGGCTGTGAAGCAGCTCCATTGATTGAGATGGTTAGGACATGTGTTACGCATGCATCCATAGTCACCGATCGCCGTCCTAGATTGACAGACAATGTTAGCCGCTGACATAGGAAGGATTTGGTTGGAAAAGAGAAAGCTAGTGGTGGTCAAACCAAAACATGGCTTCATCAGTCAATGAAATCCACAACAGTTAGGTTAAGCCAGCCGCCACGTAGGGAGGTGTAGGCTGGCTGATTGGTTTGGGTCCTCGGGATGGTAAAAACCAAAATGAAGGCTGGAGACAACTGGTGATATGGCTCAAAATCGTTCTCAAAGCCTGGTGCAGATGCATTCACTCCTTGTGACTTATCATACTCAATGAAACTATATTGTTCTTCCATATTACTATTCCCTTTGTCTCATATTCCTGTTTACTGTCTCTGGTTTGAAATTTCTTTTACTTTCTTCTCTTGACTTATGCGCTACATGGAGTGTAGCGGCTTGAATTGATGCACATCCATGTAAAGTTCTACGTTGAAACCAGTCAGTCAGGCAGTTCCTTGTTGGTTATCTTTTCCAAATGGTCATCTTATTTTCAATATCGAAACAGCGAAGGTAGCTATTGATGAAAGTCCTCAGTAGCCTGTTAGAAATGCTTACCAGGACGCATGTGCCAGGGTCTCTCAAGCATACAGAAGCACTGACTGGTTTGACATTAGTGTTAATAACTTCAATCTTGTTCTTTATGCTAAATGCAGTAGATTTCTTCAGTAATTTTAGTTGTGTCTACTTTATTATGATAACTCTGGTGCCACTAGGTGAATATCAAATGAATCCCAGATTTGGATATTCACTACACCCACCTCCGAGTAGGTTAGTAATATCACTCTTGAAACAATAAATGTGTCTCATAGGCTCTTTCAGGCAATGGAGTCCTAACAATTCTCTTCTTATATCCTTTTATGATGATGTTTCAAAGAAACCATTCACTGCGTCAGCTTTCAGGTTGTCGTGGGTATTCAACAAAATATATATATATATATCTGCTTTCATACAGAATCTATTCACATAAATCTCATACAGAAAACAGACAAATGTACTCATTGGAAGGTTTTTTATTCATTTACGTTCCCAGTGGAACATAGGGGTTCAAACTAGAGGCTTAAAGTTTCGGTAGCCAGGGCCAGGGATCGAACCCTGGACCACCTGCATGGTTGGCGAGCATTCTACCGCCGTGCGACCGACGAAATCACTGGAAGTAAGAGTGAGTTTAAAAAAATCAATAATAGTAATAAAGGTTTCAATGACAAAAGCCTTATCACCTTTATTATATCTTTCTATAGCATTATTATCAGTCATGCATAATTGGACAATAGCCATATCTCAACGAGATTGAATAGAAGATGATACCCAGTACAATAATGAAATATCTATTACCAATAACTTGAGTCTGAAGAACACTCATTTTTCCGAATGAATAAATAAATATACGCATTCGTTTACATACCTGTATGCAGAGGCAACTTTTCTGGGAGGTGATGAAAATAACTAGCCAGCAACAACAACAGCAACAAGCACCAGTCACCATCAACGGGACAAATTTGAAGAAAATCGCCTCTTTCAATTATCTAGGCAGCCCCATTTTAACTACAGAGATAAGGATGCCAAAGCCCGTCAGGATTGGAGAAGCAAGACAGTAGTCAACGTAAAGAAAAAGATTTAGATTTTCAACACTAATGTCAAGTCAGGACTTCTACATAATTCAGAGACTTGGTGCTCGCGTCACCACAAACTCTTTTCAGCGGACTGTATATTTTTAACGACAGCTAACCTCACTCTACACTGAAGATCAGATGACCAATTCAGTCGGAAAAGATAAGGAAAAGGGAACTCTGGAAACGGACCAACAAGAACCTATCGCGTAAGAAATATGCAGAAGGAAATGGAGATGGATCGGACACACACTGAGAAGGTCGTTGAGTGACATCAAGTACCAGACAGATCATCGAGTGGAAGTACAGTGGAAAACGACGAGTGCGGCGTATGTTTAAGTGCAGCATGGAGAGGATTGTTCGAGGAGATGAGAGAGCGTATTGACAATAGTGGAGTCAGTCAGTAAGGACTGCAGAGGACACAGTGAAATCGAGATAAGCAGGAACCCAAGGAAGTAATTGTCTCACTTGCGTTCTAGGGTGCATAGAAAGTCTATTAATAATGGAGATTTGTAGCTCAGGTGGGTGATATTAAATAAGTTGTGTTGTCTGAGATGGCTGATCTATTTGCGTGGCTCAAATACTCAACTATAATAGTAATAACTAAATTAACTACAAAATAAACTATGTGCATAAACTGTTTTAAAGAGTTCAAACACACTGTAGCATTACTCCTGTGTTGAAAACAATGGAACAAAATTACCCACTAATCGTCTTCAAAAAGAATAGATACCCACACTATTTCATCAAAAAGTGTTTAAACTCGAGTCATAACGCCAACATCAAAGACCACAAGAAAATTCACTCTAACACAAATAAAAAATATCTCTAAAAATAACAGCTAGAATATTAACACCGTTTGAAATAGATATAGCACACAAGCCAGCCAGCCAGCCAGCCAAGAAAATCAATTCATTCGATATTGTGCAAACCAAAACATCCATCCAACAGAAAAAGATAAATTTAATGCAATTTACAAAATAAATTGCATGTATGAACTGCAATAAACACTTCATCAGTCAAAGTAGGCGTCCTATTCGAATCCGAATCAAATCAGCTGTAAAAGGACACGATATGTATTCTTTCATATCCAGGTATGGAGACAATTACGGACACCAATATAATTGGGATAATGTAGAGATCTCGAACAGAGGAAACAGCAAAAATACCTACAGGGAATTCCTAGAATTCTGCTTCTCAAATGAATCAGCCACCGATCAACAAACACATTAATTACTATAGACCAAATTTACCAGCTAATAAAAAGTAAATCCCATGACAAAAAAGGTTCAACCCCCTCCCCCAAGTCAATAAAAATGATCAACAGAGGTGTAAATTAACAACCAATCACGACAGTGGTAGCCAGGAGATAGATACAATTACATCACCATTCACGGAGAATTTAAATGAGTTCATTTTATGCTAAAAAAAACCTGCGCTGAAGGGGGATGTTGTCTAGATGGGGGACGACGAAAGGTTCACAGTTAAATCAACCAGCTCAGATAACACACCTAATTCCAAAGTCTATCAATAAATTATGTCAGTGAATGCATTCACTCATTATTCAGTGTGTAAAAATAAACCAGTATGATACCAATAATCACCCACACAAACCCTATTTATATATATAAAATATATATAGAAAGGATGACAAACAGATACACTAAGAAAGGACACTTGTATACACATATATTGAATTGAATAGCTTCACATTTAAACATGCGTGTGTATTTAGCATTTTCGAATAACAACAATAATTTGCATACGGATAGATATTTGATATGATCGAAACGATTCAAAACAAACAAGAGAAAGTGGTAAAAAAAAATCAATTTACGAAAAAGAACTTGTTACTCTTGTTTCTTAGCAAATTTGCATAGACTTGAGAATAAGTTCCACTTTGAACGCATTTATCTCAGACCGATAGAAATTATGATCACAGAAGTTAATAATACTGCGTCCCTAGAGATTCATCTATCACATATGAAATCACATTAAGCGCATAAGGTTGTATGAGTGAAGATAAAATCACCAAAAGTTGTAAAATAATAGAAGAGTGAATAAGTTTGAAGAGTAAAATATGAATAGCACTACGTACTGTAATGACAGAAGACAAAGGCCAGGCAAAAGATCCTGTATTGAGAAAATCAACAGATATTTATAGATTTTTATGTATATTATTATAAGAGTTATTGTTAGCAGAGAAGCAACCTCTTCTGATTGGTTGTTTTCTTGCTGAAGGTTATTTTGTCATCTCTTTGTGGCATTACTAAGTGAGGCTTGAAGATATGTACTACCTAGCCTCATAAACCTTTGTAGGTAGGTGGAGCTCGGTTT